TTTTTTTTTTTTGTTCACTCACTATTTTTTTTTTCTTGATCTTCAACGATATTGACAGAAATTGTGACCAATCAACAGCAGTAGCAGCAAAAACAACAAAAACGACCCCAACAACATCAGCAACAGCTACAACAGCAACATCTGGAGCATTAATTCACTTAGTCCAACACATTTCTTATTTGTTCAGTTTTTTCCCAAATCTTTTCCATTTATCAAACAGTTTGATACATCAGAACACTTTAAATATTAAAGCAGTAACGCCCCAAAACTATTTTGAAAGATTTACAGAGGTATCAGTAACTTTTTGAAACTTTTTCAATACTTGTACATAGATAACTAAGGGAAAATTGATTTGAAGTTTAATTTAAAAAAAATGTTAAAGATCACATACTTTGTATGCAGAAAAAAATTACAGATCGAGAGAAACTAAAAAAAAATTTGTTTCCTTTTTTGGCTAACATTAAAATAAAAAATAAAAAAAATTTTACGCCATCATTTAATGAATGAATGACTTTTCTCAACTATTATCTGAGTAATACCTGTGGTTTTATGATTTGTATCTAGTGAACGGTGATCAAAACTTTCTTCTCCATCTTGCTCTTTTTCCTTCTGCTTTCTTTTTCAAAAAATTATAAACTAAGTAGCAAATAAAGAAAAATAAAATAAAGAGTAGGAAAAAAGTAAATACTTCTTTCCTTATCCACTCAACGTTTGCTTCCTTGCTCAAAAAAACTGATGCTTTCTTTCCAAAACAGAACTGCATTTATTGTGCACTGCAATACTGTGTGCTGCTCAACAAGAACATATCACAAAAACGAACAAACATTAAAAAAACTGAAGCATCCGGAAAAGAGCAGCATCAGCATCAGCAGCAACACTAGCACCACCAACAGCAACATCAGTATTCGCATCCGCAACAGCAGTAGCACTTTCCTCTTCGTTGCCCTCACTCTCTTTCTCAAACCATAACAAGATCTCTGATTCTGGCTGCCTGTCTTCTCTAACTGTCTTAATATCTGACCTCCAGATTTGAACATCTATTCAACCAACACACTGAACGAAGAATCAATCAGTTAGTTAGTCAGCCAGTCAGTCAATCAGTCCATATAATAACAACAACAAAAACAACAGAAACAACAAACAACCACTGTTGTTTCAGGAGCTATCGAACCGGTTCAGATCGCCGATCACATACAGGCATCGGCAAAAACACATCAACAACACATAGACGTAGAGAGGAGAGCCCCAGCCTACGCTTCAGTTTGCCCTCCAGCATCCTCAAGTGCCCCACAATACAGAGGCCCTTGCAGCAAGAGGCTGCTGGCGCTACGCCCTGCAGTGATGCCCAGCACTGTTATTGATAGCCTCATTTGTTCACAGCGCTCAACAACAGCAAAACAGCAACAGCAAAAAAATCTTCATATTATTAAAGCAAAAAAAGGAAAAAACAGCAACAACGAAAACGCCATCAAAAATACTCCTCGGCTTCTGTGTACAAAATTTTTTTCCTGTTCTTCAAATTTAAAGAAACAAAACAGCAACAACAAAAAAAACCAAAAAAAAAGAAAGAAAAAATTTCACATGATAAGAAGTTTCTCCTTCTTCCTTCACTTCTTCAAGAGGAATTTTTGCCCGACTCAAACGTAATGATAATAAAGTGGTGCTCAATTAAAGTCATTAATCAATTGCGTTCGATCAGTCCTAATGCAATTTAATGCAATCATGCATTTACCGACCTTTTTTTTCTTCTCCTTCCCCCAACATCGTACTTTTTTTTTTCATCTTTTGTCTTCCATATTTACCTTGTCTAGAAAATCACAAATCTTCAGTAGAACAATATAAAAACAAATACTATACGTAATGTTACTTATATTCACAAAATAAGTAAACAAACAAACATATCAGTCATTTAATGTAAACATATTTATTGTTTAAATTAAAGAACTAAGTTGGTTTAAACTCGTTAAATAAATTTGAAATAAATACAAGGTGACAAAGATCACAGCTTAAGCTTTCAATGCTACTCTTCAAAATTTTTTCTCATATATATAATACATACTTCTTCTTGCCATTCTTAACTAAAATCTTCTTAGTAGCTGTCAAAAGGTCACCTATAAGCTTGTAAACACTGTGAACACGCCAAAAAAAGTCATGATTGAACCGTTCAATAAACTATCATTAACGATCAAATGCGAATATGTTGTGATTACGACAATACGGTAGTCATTGTCATATTGGAAAAAACGTTATAATAAACACTGTATTTTTTGAGCAAAATAAAAAACAAAAATAAAAATTTTGCTCAAAAATTCACACCCATAATCCGTCTTTTTTAACCTTTATTAATTTTTTTACACTACTTCTTTTACTTCATTAGGAAAGAAGCAAGGGGAGAAAAAGAACCCAAGTGTTAGAAATCAACTAAATAACAGAAATAAAACTAATTCAAGGAAAAAGAAGCATGGCAAAATGTTGTCAAAATTATTTGTACGGTAATGATAGACGTTAAAATCATCGTACAATCTTAACTTTATCAGCTTTAGACACCAAAAATATGTACCGCGAAATTTACGCTCATAAAAGCAAACGGAGAAAAAAAAGAGAATCTGATATAAAAAGATGAAAAAACAATAACATTAAAAGCAAATTTTTATAGCAATCCTGGAAAAATTTTTTCTCCACTATAGTAACAATTAATGTTCCCTCCTTAGCCGCAAAAATTTTTTGCTTAAACACACACA